TCAATATTTTCTGTAGAGCTGGTTTGGTGTTTGCAAATTCTTTCAGTTTTTGTTTGTCCTGGAAGCTTTTAATCTCTCCTTCTATTTTCAATGATAGCCTAGCTGGATATAGTATTCTTGGCTGCATGTTTTTCTTGTTTAATGCTCTGAATATATCATGCCAGCTCTTTCTGGCCTGCCAGGTCTCTGTGGATAAGTCTGCTGCCAATCTAATATTTTTACCATTGTATGTTACAGACTTCTTTTCCCGGGCTGCTTTCAGGATTTTCTCTTTGTCACTAAGACTTGTAAATTTTACTATTAGGTGATGGGGTGTGGACCTATTCTTATTGATTTTGAGGGGGGTTCTCTGAACCTCCTGGATTTTGATGCTTATTCCCTTTGCCATATTAGGGAAATTCTCTCCAATAATTCTCTCCAATATACCTTCTGCTCCCCTCTTTCTTCTTCTTCTGGAATCCCAATTATTCTAATGTTGTTTCGTCTTATGGTGTCACTTATCTCTCGAATTCTCCCCTTGTGGTCCAGTAGGTGTTTGTCCCTCTTTTGCTCAGCTTCTTTATTCTCTGTCATTTGGTCTTCTATATCGCTAATTCTTTCTTCTGCCTCATTTATCCTAGCAGTGAGAGCCTCCATTTTTGATTGCACCTCATTAATAGCTTTTTTGATTTCAACTTGGTTAGATTTTAGTTCTTTTATTTCTCCAGAAAGGGCTTTTATATCTCCCGAGAGGGTTTCTCTAATATCTTCCATGCCTTTTTCGAGCCCGGCTAGAACCTTGAGAATCGTCATTCTGAACTCTAGATCTGACATATTACCAATGTCTGTATTGATTAGGTCCCTAGCCTTTGGTACTGCCTCTTGTTCTTTTTTTTGTGGTGAATTTTTCCGCCTTGTCATTTTGTCCAGATAAGAGTATATGAAGGAGCAAGTAAAATACTAAAAGGGTGGCAACAACCCCAGGAAAATATGCTTTAGCCAAATCAGAAGAGATCCCAAATCGTGAGGGGGGAGAAAGGGGATAAAAAGAGGTTCAGAAAGAGAAAAAAAAAAAAAAAGAAACAATTAAAAAAAGAAAACCAATAATGAAAAAATATAAAAAGGAAAATATATATATATATATATGTATATTAGATAAACTAGTTAAAAAACGTTAAAAAAAGAAAAGGGTAAAAGTTAAAAAAATTTAGCAGAAGAAGAGAAAAAAAAATTGAAAAAGAAAAAAAAATTGAATTAACTGCAAGGCTAAAGAATCATGGGGAGAAAGCCATGAGTTCCATGCTTTGCTTTCTCCTCCTCTGGAATTCTGCTGCTCTCCTTGGTATTGAAACTGCACTCCTTGGTAGGTGAACTTGGTTCTGGCTGGGTTTCTTGTTGATCTTCTGGGGGAGGGGCCTGTTGTAGTGATTCTCAAGTGTCTTTGCCCCAGGCGGAGTTGCACCGCCCTTACCAGGGGCCGGGCTGAGTAATCCGCTCGGGTTTGCGCTTGGGAGCTTTTGTTCCCTGAGCGCTTTCCGTAGAGTTCCGGAGGACGGTAATGAAGATGGTGGCCCTCCATCTCCAGCCCGGGGGAGCCGAGAGCTTGGGGCCCCACTCCTCAGTGCGCCCTCAGAGAACAGCGCCCAATTACTCCTGTCACCCTGGCCTCCGGCCGCGCTCCAAGCTGACTGAGCCTGCGACCGGTTCAAGGTAACCCCGAGCTGAGAGCTCACTCCTTGGCTCTGTCTCTGTAGCCGGCTTCCCCCTTCTAATACCTGTAAGCTCTGCGACACTCAGACACCCCGGATCCTTCTGTGACCCTGCGGGACCTGAGGCCACGCTGACCCCGCATGGGCTTCACCCCGGTAAGCCTCTGGAGTGATGTCTCTCAGCGGAACAGACTTTTAAAAGTCCTGATTTTGTGCTTCGTTGCTCCGCCGCTTGCCTGGAGCCAGCCCCTCCCCCCGCGGTCTTCTTCCCGTCGCTTTGGATTCACTTCTCCCCCAGTCCTGCCTTTCAGAAAGTGGTTGATTTTCTGTTTCTAGAATTGCTGTTCTTCTTCTCTTCGATCTCCCGTTGGATTTGTAGGTGTTTGCAATCTTTAGATAAGCTATCTAGCTGATCTCCCGCTACCTGAAGTAGTCTCAGCCTGCTATTTCTCCGCCATCTTGACTCCTCCCCTATCTTGCAGTAATTTTTATCAGATGTCTATATAAAAGTCCTGATTATCCAGAATTTTCCTAGGAAGAAGAGAATGCATCTCTGATGAACCCATAGCCAGAATCAGAATATAAAATTACTTTAATGGGCTTTAGTAGGAAGAAATGTGGAGGACTGTTCTCAGGCTTGAAAACTGAAAAACAGAGGTGCCTGGGTGGCTCAGTCAGTTGAGCAGCTCTCTTCAGCTCAGGTCATGATCCCAGCGTCCTGGAATTGAGCCCTGCATCGGCTCCCTGCTCGGCAGGAAGCCTGCTTCTCCCTCTCCATCTGCTACTCTCCCTGCTTGTGCTCTCATTCTCTCTCTCTCTCTCTCAAATAAATAAATAAATCTTTAAAACAAAGAAAACAAACTGAAAAACACAAGTAAAAATAGAAAGTGATATGATTTGAGGGTTTAAATTCATTAGATTTTATTATAAGACATTGTTACCTTTAGAAATAAGAAACACAGCTGTGTGAACTAAAATAGCTTAATGAATTCCCTTCCTTTTTCCTTTTCAGTAATCTTGTGGGATACAAAAGCTTTTACTAATATTTATACAATGTTCATTCAGAATGATACACTCATTGATAAATTACACGTGTATAGAGTGTTTGTCGTCAAATTATATCAGGTACATGTTGCAAATTATGAAGTACTGCTAAACAAATTCACCAAAGAGTCTTACATTATGATTCTTTTAATTCTGACCCAGTAATTCTCTTTCCTTTTCTTTTTTTTAAGATTTATTTATTTATTTGAGAGAGAGAGAGGGGTGAGAGGCAAAGGGAGAGGGAGAGAATCCTCACAGCTTGAGGTGGCTTGATCCCAGGACCCTGAGATCATGGCCTGAGCCAAAACAAAGAGTTAGCCACTTAACAGACTGAGCCACCCAGGTGCCTGTAATTCTGCAGCCTGAGTTGCTTTCATAGTCTTCCTTTTGCAGGAAATTTTTTGGAAAAACTTAATGTAAGCAGTTGCCTAGCTTTAATTTTTAGTTCCTTATAACTTTTTAGAGGAGCATGCGGGAATTAAATGCAAATATTTGTCCATTTTTCTTTTCCACTATTGTTTCTTCCCACTAAAGTAAACTCCCATGAGTTTGAGGACCCTGTCAGTCTTCATTACCATGACCCTTGAGCCTATGACAGTGCCTGGAACATGGTAGTTGCTTCATAAGTATTTGTTAAAGGGAATAATATCTTAGATGATTTTAACTAAGGTCATCTGTGGGGCGCGTGGGTGGCTCAGTGGGTTAAGCCTCTGCTTTAGGCTCAGGTCATGATCTCAGGGTCCTGGGATGGAGCCCTGCATCAGGCTCTCTGCTCAGCGGGGAGCCTGCTATCCCCCACCCCACCTGCTTCTCTGCCTGCTTATGATCTCTGTCTGTCAAATAAATAAATAAAATCTTTATTAAAAAAAAACTAAGCTCATCTGTCAGATATTGACTCCATATAGTATATAGTATAGTTTATATATATAGTATAGTTTATATATATAGTATATATATATAGTATAGTTTACTGTAAACCCCTGTGCTTATCAGTGAATGGTTTGACCTTACACAAAAGTGAACAACTACTCAGTAGGCCAGTCAACAGGAAAGGAAGCTAACTGTGGATTGATGTGTATCTTACACCTATGATAGATTAGCTGTGTTAAATTTTTTAGTAACAGCATGTCAAGTATTATAAAATAATACAAGTATTTGTAGTAGTTGCTGATTATATGCCACAGTTATATGACCATTAGTAGAGACATGGTGCATTACAATGTGAGGTGATTAAGAAGTCAGGATAGGGGAGCCATGGGTCAGAAATCAGAGTACTCCTGTCAAATTCTGACTCAACCACTTGTTAGTTGTCTGATGTTACAGTAATCACTGTCTCAGTTTCCCCATTTGTATAATGAACATAAGACTAGTAATTATTTCACAGCGTTGGTGTGAGGATTAAAGGACATAGTCCATGTAAAGAGATTAGTGCATGATCTGGTACACTGTGAATAATAAAAGCAAACTCCTTTATGCAGATGAAATTTCTGCTCAGAAACATGTGACCAGGGGCTCCTGGGTGGCTCAGTGGGTTAAAGCCTCTGCCTTCGGCTCGGGTCATGATCTCAGGGTCCTGGGATCGAGCCCCATGTCAGCTCCCTCCTCGGCGGGGAGCCTGCTTCCCTTCCTCTCTCTCTGCCTGCTTCTCTGCCTATTTGTGGTCTCTGTCAAATAAATAAATAAATAATCTTTTAAAAAAAAAAAAAAAGAGAGAGAGAAAGAAAGAAACATGTGACCATCCTCAGCCACAGGCAGGAATTTGGGCACCAGCACCTGGAACCCAGGTCCCTCCAACTTCAAATTCTATTTGTATTCTAGCTGTGCTGCTTTATCATGATGTGAGAAGAATGCTAGAATCATGTTCAACAACCGGCCAAAGTACAGAGTCTGAATGGCGTTTCAGGAAGAAAAAGCAGGCAAATGAATAAAATAAAAGGAGAACACAGAATAGGAAAATAAAATATCCTGGCCTGTGGCATCTGCACAAATAGAGAATACTAAGTAGTATATCTTGTTGTTGAACAGAGGGAGGAAATAATTTTATAAATATTTTATAATTGTTATTTTAAGAGTCAAAATTATTTCATCTATTTACATATATTTTGACACTGTTAGAAGACAGAACTTTTTCTCTTGTATATAAATTGCTCTGGGCAAGCATATAAGAGTGAGCAAAATTTAAATATTTGGTCTACTTTATCATGACGGTATTTTTCTCAATTGTGTACCATCATTTATATATGAACCTCCTTTATTTTGTTTCCACAGAATGCTGAAGTCTCTGTTTTTGAAGTAAATATACGCTTTGTTGGTGGGCTACTCTCAGCCTACTATCTGTCTGGAGAAGAGGTAAGATGAAACTGTAAAATTATATTTTAGTGGGAAAATTTGCTTTTTGTGGTATCTGTTCTCATATTTCAATGGGTCTCTAGCATACACTGAATTTAGTGTAATATATACATATTAAACGAGCACACTGGGCAAGTTGGGCACAACATATTCTGAGGATATGGTAAGCAATACCTTTTAAAAAACCTGGGTCCGGGGGCGCCTGGGTGGCTCAGTGGGTTAAAACACCTGGGTCCGTTCTGCTAGGTGTGATGTGATTATAACTATAAATTAGAAATGCCTGTACACAAAGAGGGTTAGTGCAGTGGGAGGCTGGTGGATGAGTTCTTTTTCTTTAAAAATTATTTTAAGTTTAGCTTAATAAAAACCTTTTTGAAGGTGGAGTAGGTTGACAAGCGAGATCTGAAAATTACAGTGAGGGGGTAAGTGAGGTACTCAGCCTTCTAGTGAGAAGTCCTGTAGGCCAGTGTCCCTGTGTAATGTGCTTCGGAGCTCTTCCTCGAGTGAGGCTTAATTAATTGTCTGTTCAGAAGAAAGCAGGAATTTTTAATTTAGCTTCCTTTTATTGATAGATTAAGAAAGGATTTTTGTATCATGCTTATAAAGAGCACAGATGCTATTTTCTTGAAAGGTTTTGGACAACTCTGTGAATATCCTAAGTGTCCACTAAGAGTTGTTGGAAAGGACTTCACCTTTAATGTTGAGAGTATTAAAAGCTGAGGTCAAGGAAAAATAGTCACATATTTCAATTGCATGTCAGTCAGATTTGTGTGAGCCTCAGCATTCTGGCTGGGGGAAGAGTGGATCTTACCTAGTGTAGTATTTCACGTATTTCAATGCTCCTTCAAAACCGATTTAAGCAGAGCAATAAATGTTTAATGAGAAAAGCTGCTTTACTTTGTTCCTGTCTCCCGGGTACTTTCCTAGCCATAACAAAACAGCCTGCACAACCTGAATGTTCTCTCTGTCCTTAGATTTTATTCTACCATAGATATTTTCAAAGTATATAAATGACTCTATATTCACCCATATCGGTCCTATTTAAGTGTTAAGTTCTTTTCTTCGTTATGGACTCTGTCACCTTCTCAGCCAGAGTAATGAGACTTTCTGGCCTATTTTTCCTCTTCTTCCCTTTTTCCAGGCCCACATCATTTCATTTATTCAGTTTGGTTTAGGATGTTCCAAGCCTTGAGCCAGGGAATCCATATTTTTACAAAGTCATACTGAAAATTGTTATTTTAGTTAGCAACTTTCTGCTCTTAGAATATTTGTCTTTGAGTATCCAGTGCCTGGTATTCTCACTCTTTTTGACATACTTAGGATGAACTTGGTTTTAATTTTCTTCAACATTTATATGGAGGTGAGACGATTTGGAGAAAATAAGAACTGCATCCCTCTATATCTGGGCTCAATAGGATAATTGAGCATACAAAGAAAAACAAGTAACATTTCTTTTAAATATGCATCATGTTTAGTTAAGATATTTTTTCACTTGTAATGGTGTCTTAAGTTTTATATATCCGTTACAAGTGAAAAAAACATCCTAATTAAGCATGATATCTGTGGGTTTGTATAAATTATATAAATATACCCACAGGTATTTTGCCTATAGATAAAATCATTTGGCTCAGATTTTGTAAAGGTACTTTTTTAATCCATATATAGCTAACTTTAGCAAACAAAGTACTACAAAGAACACCTCCATTAAAAATGATTATTCTTTTAGTGTAATTTTTGGTTCCTTATCCCCATACAAAGCATAGTTTTTATTACATCGAGACTTTCTGTATTATAATTATAAAATACTTAAGGTATTTCCATTCTCACTTAATTTTCTGTTTCTATAGAATATACTTTTAGTTCATAAAGATTCATCTATTCAGCATAGTTTTTGCATAACCCGTCCCTAAATGTTGGGTAGTTGGGTTTTTTCCAGTTCCTGTATTTTGGATGAGGTAGCTATAATCAGTAGATAAATATTTATTCTCTTAAGTGGGATTGCTGGGTAAGAAGTGGTTAGTACTAATCTGTTTTCTTATCATTTCATCCTTTTTCCTCTCAGTTACCTCATCACTGACAATTTCTGACCAGTGCACTCAGGGAAGTTGACTATCAGGAATGTGGTCAAGAAAAACTATTTTACCCCAAGTCTGTACTTGAGCTGTTTATCTCAATATCCAAATGAAAAAAAAAAAATTGAACATTCATTAATAGAAAGAACATCAACATAGCCAAATTATTAATTACTTGGTCTCAGATTGTTGATAAAATTTTATACTACACATTTTTATGTAATCAAGGTATTTACTAAGATAGTCTAGGCAAATTTATCTTCCTACATTATCTTATAGAGGGGCTACTAAGTCACTGTAATTTGACATTCTCTTTTCATTGCTTAGGCTCAGTATTTTGAGAACATCATATAAATCACCATCAGAACTAGATAGCCCTACATTGATATAAGATCAAAATTCTTAAATTTAATTATTGCAAAAACAGAAGAGGAATACCATTGGTTTGTGTTACATGCTTCAGGGAAACTACAATTAGAAACACTCAGGAGTAATCAAGAATGCCAATGGAACTGTAAACCCTACCAAAATTACAATGGTAACATGACATACCTGTTGATAAGTAGTTTGACTATAGGGACATATTCAATAAATTTTAAAACACTCTAGCTCATTTAAAATATTTGGTAGTGCCATTAAAAACAGTCGGTCACAAGGTTTTCAGTCTATATAAGAAATGCAAACAATCACAAGAATTACAAACAGGATAATTATAAGATGAATACTAAATAGGAATGATCAGTATTAAATAGAAGTAAAAGAGGTAGTATTGCTCTACTACAAACTCAAGGGAAACTGAAGTCCTCATTGGAGACAGTAAATAGAAGAAGAATATCATTACCCAAAATATGTTCTACAGAGCACTAGTCTCTTTAGATACTTCAGGATAACTCTGTATCCATATATGTACTAAAAATAAATTCATAAAAAGCTACATCTTATATTCTGTCCTAGAAATTCACAATGTACAGAAAAAGAAACTAACTGAATTTTATTTATCCCTCTGTTTAACATACTTCCTTAACTGTAACCTTCCTCCTTTTTCCTTAATGTAACATTTGCTAATTCTGAGTTACAAATACTGTTTCCCAGAACAAATTTTGAGAAACCCCGCTGTAGAATAAGAGTGACCTAAGGAAAAATGGTAATTGAAAATTGGCAAACGCAAAACAAGACATTACAAGAGAAGATGATATATGTGTAAAGTAGCATGTATGAATATACCACATATTATTTGTTTTACGGTAGAAACCAATGACTTTATTCAGCAGAAAGTTAAGTTAATAGGATATAGTAATGCCACATCCTCCTAGTGAGGGCTGAAAAACAAGTTGGAAGTAAGCTCAATAATCACTCTGGGGCATCCTAGAATTAATAAATATGCCCTGTTTTTTCTACCCTTGTCAAGACACAGAGGCCCAGGAGAAAGAAATCAATTGGCCGTTTGGTTTACATGTGGCCCCTTAAGGATCTTGGGGAAAGAAAGAGAGGACATGATAGAAGTCTTCTATAGGGTTTGAATTCAATATCCTTTGAACACGGAGTGTACATAATTCCTGAACAGGAGACTGAGGCCTTATTAAAAGAGTTAGAAGAATAAATGTTTGGAAGCCAAAAAGAGACACAGTATCACTACGGTGAGTAAGGATGTCAGAGGAAACAAGCATATGGAAACTGATAATTTAATAATATACTTGAAAACACTTTTCCTGATTTATAAAACTACTTTATTGTATAAATTAAGAGAGAATGTTTGGAAATACTAAGGTATTTACTCCTCAGGGGAGACATTTGCCTAGTATGTTTTATATAGGTAAACTGGAAAAATAAGACACCAACTACTGGATGCTAAAACAATTGAAGAACTAGCTTTCAATGCAAAAAAGGTAACCAAGACATTGATCTAGCACTGGGGAAATACACATAATGGATTCTTATATTAAATCAGGTAACTCTGCCAGGATATCTTTCATTTCAAGGGAGCAAGATTATTTTTCCCCAAATTGACCAAGAGAAATCCATTGCTCCATACACAAGTACCAAAGATTGCTGAATAGCTTCCAACAAAGAGAAGTAGCTAATGCCCCGAAGTTTAGGAATATCAAGGGAAAAAACATATAGGAAGGGGGTAGGATTATGGAGTGGAGAAGAGAGAAATAAGATGGAGAATGTCAGTTTATTGGTGGAAAGATTTACTGTTTTCTCATAATAGGTTTCAAATATTTGGGCTATTTAGGGGGCTAGCCATCAATTGTATAGAGTGTATTTAGTGATGAATAATTGTGAAAGTGTTTAGAAAGTCCTTAGAAAATCAGGATGCTTTGATGGGGTTCCCTTTCAAACTGTGTCTGCCACCATCCATGACAATAAAGTAATCTTCCAGACCATCCACCGATCTGTCTCCTGCCTTATTCTGCAAAGAAATTAAAGTGACTTACCAGAAATGTGCATAATACACACAAAGCTGTTGAAAACAGAGAATAGAATAAAGTCAGACTAATTTTTTTGTAAAGATTTTTTATTTATTTATTTGACAGACAGAGATCACAAGTAGGCAGAGAGGCAGGCAGAGAGAGGAAGGGACGCAGGTCTCCGCTGAGCAGAGAGCCCGATGCGGGGCTCAATCCCAGGACCCTGGGATCATGACCTGAGCCGAAGGCAGAGGCTTTAACCTACTGAGCCACCCAGGGCCCCCAGACTATATTTTTTTAATTTTTTATTTTAATTCTAGTTAGTTAACATACAGTGTTATATTCGTTTCAGGTATACAGTACAGTAATTGAATAGTTCCATATATCAGTCTGGGTTCAAGAAGACAGATGGAGTCCTTCATCCCCATCATTTTTTTCACACATTCCCCCCACCCGTCTCCCCTCTGGTAACCATCACTTTGTTCCCTATAATTAAGAGTCTGTTTCTTGTTTTCTC